TTGGGCGAATGTATTGTACTAATTGCTTGACAAAAGGTTTCAAAGAAAGCATATGCATTTGTCTAAAGGACAATGACGGCATGAATATATATCCTCTCCATTTTACATTAAATTTCAACTTCAAATCCTCCGCTGACACGCGTGTTGCGTTCAGGTCTTGCGTACCAAAAAGCTCCAATCATCAAGAATACCCTGAACCTGGAGATAAGATCGGGTCGTTTAAGCCCGAACACGCGTGTTAGCTAAGCACCTGACAGGGGCTGCGAGCGACACCTTACCAAGGCTAGACTAGTCTGGCCTATTTAGGCTTTGGGCTTGCCAGGATTATCTGTCGATCACGTCGCTTATTATTTGCGAATCCTTGATGATGAATTCTTGTTTCAGCTCATTAATCTCACATCTGACTCTAAATCTCTAGGCTACTACTGTTCCGAGTTGCTATCTCTCCAAATTCTTCAAAATTCCTTCTAGGTGCGACTCAGCATGCTTCGACGAAGTCATAAAAAGTCCAAGAAGGGATGTGCACAATGGTAAGTCGAGAACATCTCGAGCTTCGCAATTATGGAACATGAACTGATACCGTCTGATCAGCAAGCGACGTCACGTAAAGGTATCTATCTCCCCATGCTCAATGCATGAGCGCTTAAGCCTAATCTCCCGCATTGACTCCCAAGTTCCCATGACTAACACGCGTGTTCAGTGCGATGAAGGCCGCCCGACATGTCTCCTCTGCACAATGTCAAATCGAGACTGCAGCTTCGCCTCCGACCCGCAACCACCCCAAGACACAAACTCCTCGACCCCGGAATTATCATCTCGCGAAGGATCACTCCTCAGCCCCGAAGCTAACCTCAGATCAACGAGCGCAACATCCCTTTCCGACAGCCATGAACAGTCGTTCGATAGCGTTGTCAACATGGAGCACATGGAACTCTTTATACATGGGATAACAAACAAAGACTTGTTTAGTCTTGGTGATAGAGTCGAGCATTCTCAAGAGACGCTTCATATCTGTCTTAAAGAGGCCGCCAAGGCACCGTATCTCTTGCATCAAGTGCTGGCATTCTCTGCACGCCATCTAGCGGCTATTCATCCCGAGCGCTCCGAGAAATATCTGCACCAAGCTGTTGAGTTGCAAACACGAGCCGTTTCGTTGTTCAACTCGACAAAGCGACAAGTCGATTCGTCGAATTGTCTCCCTATTCTCTTGTTCTCGGTTACTCTAGGCCACCACCTCCTTGCTGATGCCTTGGCTACCCGAACTTCAGATGGTCTTGATGGGTTTCTTACTCATTACGTACAGTGTGTTGAGATGAACTGGGGTTTGTATCGTTTAACACTCTCCGCATGGCCTTTACTTCTCAACACGGAGCTTGAACCAGTTCTATCGTGGAGTAGTCAACAATCCTCCAAAGACCCTACAGGAAAACACTGTGAGCCCATTGTCCAGCTCGTCAACGACTCGATTGCTTTGTCAAATGACGAAAAAGAAGTGTGCCGTGAGGCAATACAATACCTCCAACTTGGCTTCGATGCCATGTTCAAAGAAGACGATGGCGGTCGATATCGCATGATATTCCAATGGACGATGCTAGCGTCACCCGGGTTGACAAGCTTGTTAGCTACAAAACGGCCAGAAGCTCTGATCTTGCTGGGTTATTACGCCTTGTTATTACACCACGCACGAAGTCTCTGGCAGGTTGGGGATACAGGGGTATACCTGCTTGGACTTATCACGGCCTATCTTGCACCGGAGTGGCATATCTGGCTTGAGTATCCACGACGAATAATGCGACAAAAATGAAGGCATATATATCCATTCTATTGAGAGCTGGTCTATCGAACCATCAGCAGTTCCATCAAAGTGCCATGCCCCAAGGTTGCAGATCTCCACATACGACACCATACCTCAACAGGAAGATCCACACAACCTCAACACTAAAAAAATACAATACGAGAAAAAAACGAGAAAAAGAATGAGGCACACCGGATTTGAACCGATAACCTTCAGGAATCTCCGTGCTAAGTAGCTGGAATCTGACGCGCTACCGTTGCGCCAGCGCCCCATTGTATGTTGGTTGAAACTCGAGTTTGCAACCAGTCCCTTCAATCTGGCTCGTCGTGGAGCCGATTTTCGCCGTGGGATATCACAATTTTTAGATAACTTGCTCTGAACTTGATAAAAATTTTCTAAGTTTAGGCTACCTTACCTAGTTGTAAAGACCTAGAGTTATAATACTGGCATCAGTGGTAAGGGCAGAATACATCGCTGCATGAGAAAACCAATATAACGCTTATTAGTTACAAGGGCTCTCCGCCTCTTTCGAGAGCCCACTTCGCCAAAAAGTCAGGATTTCGCTCAACTTCCCCCTTGCAGCCCACCAACCACTCGAGGTACTCCTCATGCTGCTGCAGTGTTTGCTGTAAGCTTTGCTTCTCAGAGAGGAATTTATCGCCGGCTCGCCCAAACATTCTGAACAAGTCTTTGAGGAGGAGTTGAAGACGGGGAGACAAATGCCATGGAGACTCGCCCAGGGATCGAAGACAATCAAAATCGAGGATTTTCTGGTTCAAATCATGGACCCTTTTCGGAGAAGTCATTTCGCCGTACTTTGTCGTGAATCTACCCGCTTCAGAACGAAGCTCAGATTGAACATCTTCTGGCTGCTGTTCCAACAAGAACACGAACCACCGACAAAGGTGCTCGGCCAGTGCTGACCGCCCATTCTGGTCCATGAAGCATGCGTTGCAGCAAGCCTTGTCAAAGATCTCTTGCGTGAGTATTACTCCGTCCCAAGTTAGCTGCCCCATGGTAGGTTCCCATGCCTGAAACCAATACCCGGCACCCGCACCGATTCGAAACGCTCTCAACTCCTGCCATTTCGTACATCGAGGACACCGAGCCATCCACAAAGTCCAAGGATGTTGGACACCTTGATAAAAACGCTTGGATGGCCGCCCTTGTTGCATTGTATCCAATACGCCAGGGAAATATCGATCGAGGGGGGATATGATCATATGGTTTTCAATCGAAATGATGGGAAATCTTTCAGTCCCAAACATGCCATCATGGCTGGCAATGGTCGCGTTATTGAAAACGTGGCTTTCGTATTGGCATGCATTGCACTTTCGATGGTGTCGGCTACTGCCGAAGCTGCTCCGCATTGAGACCAAATTCCACAAAAATAGGTTACGTATGTTTTCCGGGCTATACGTGATGAGTCGCAAAAAGTCGCCATAGTGCATTCCCTCAAAGGAATCCAGGTTGTGGTTTCGGATCTGATTGAACAGCTCGTTAGGACTTATGGCTAGAATATCCCCAACAATGAGGTTATAGCGATCTTGTATGCTTCTGCCGCCGTCGGCTGGGAGTGGCGTTAGCGGTGTTACCGCCCTCGCGATGCGTCCAAGCCCAGGCTCCCAAGAAGTAATGGTCCTGATTGCAGGGGTCGCAGTCGGGGGCTTTTGCCAAATCACCTCGGCCAAGAATTTGTATTGAAAATGGTAATAAGGGAGAAGCCTCTTGCAACCGGTACAGGCCCACCGCGGCCGCGTCTGTGTCTTCAAGACGCCGGGGTCACTCCAGAGGGGTCTTCCGTGGCACTTAGTGAAGGGCAGAAGGGAGCCTCCATGTCCCGGAAGGCACTCAAGAGCCAGCAGACGCTCAATGAACTGTTGTCTCTGAGGTTTGATGATTTTCAGGAAGTGGCGGTTCGTTTGACGTAGCGAGATCAACCCGATCGGGTCTAATAAACGAGCGATTTGCTCTTTTAGCTCCACCGCAAGACCGTCCAGAAATGGACCTGAAGGCCGTCGATTAAACGATGGTGGGCTAGGCGTCCACTGGAGAATAGGGTTGAATAACCGCTGGGGTAGTAGAAGAGCTAGTACTCGAAGTTGTGGTGGTAATAAGTGTAACACAACAACGGGTGATCTCGTATTCAATAACGAAGAATACATGTCTGTCTGTGGCATGGCGAGGAAGGCCATGAGATTCAGACCGAAGAATGATCAAAGAATGTGAATTAGAATTAATCAATTTGAAGTGATGAAGAAGTTGAGTTTGTTTACGATTTTCAGCGCCTCAACACTTTCCTGTTGGTTCGCCTACCTCTTCGGGGAAGGGACAATGCAAGACCGAGTGTGCAACATTCCCTATGGGCAAGTAGGCAGGAGCCTGGTGGATGAGCATTCTTCCCTGTTATCGTTGTTAGGTACTACCTTAAGTTGGCACCCATTGCCAGAGGCACTCATGCTGCGGTCTGTCCTGCCCATACCACCGACGCTGGTATCATAACTTAAGGTCTTTAAAATTAGGTAAGGTAGCCTAAATTAAGAAAATACTTACCAAGTTCAGGGTTAGATTATCTAAAGAGTAAACCGCTTCCATAAAATTGGCTACTATGGTGTTAGCTTGGGCGAGCGTAACTGATTGTTTTCGAGGGCAGTGCGAATTACAAGTTGCAAGGCTCCATTTATTAGATTTCTGATATACCAAGAATGGAATTTTTGATTTATTAGCATATTCTGTAAATAGTCTATCATTTGGCGCCTCATCCCCGATTCCCGCAGCATGAAAGGACTTTATGACTGACTTCCGTTTACTTTGGGATGAAGCTACTCGCTTTTGGCGATCTGTGAGTGGTTCACAACGAGAGCTAGGCTTGGTGAGCTTGCTAAGTCTCACAGGCTTGGCATGTCAGCATTGCTGACTACAATCATACCGGACATGCCCGCGGAGCTCCACGGCTGCCATTCCACAAGTAATCCCCATCGAAATTACGCGGTTACCTCAACGGAACTGACGCGGCTACGAGGCTGTGAAGCTCGTTGTGAGAATCGCCAAGATGAAAACATCTTTGGCGATAGCGATGAAGGATATTGAGAGTTGGTCTATGCCGCTTTTGAGCTGCATATAAAGAGTCGAGCCGTCGACTTGAAAATGGAATTAATCTAGCAAAACATTCGAGACACTAAGTTCGTTCATCGATATCCACACCATGATTCTCAATCGTCTTAAATACGCTCTTGCGGCTGTCTTGACAGGCAGCTCCACTGCCCTTGCGATCAAACCCAATGTCTACGACTATGTCATCATCGGCTCTGGACCAGGAGGAGGTTCTCTGGCGTGAGTCAAAGCACGAACTTGACACAAAACTCGCGTGCTGATGGATAATAGCGCCAATCTAGCTAGAGAGGGACACTCCGTCTTCCTTATCGAAGCGGGAGGAGACAATCACACCAGCATCCTCGAGCAGCTTCCAGCTCTGTGAGTTCCAATTCTCGCAAGCCCCTGCTGTTACTAACAGTTGCCAGGGCTCGAACTGCTGCCGAGACTCCCGGCCACTCTTGGCAGTTCTTCGTCAATCACTACGAAGACTTTGATGCGGCCCGTCGTGATCCCAAGTACACTTATATCCAGACCAATGGTTCCTACTACGTTGGCCTTGACCCGCCTGAGGGTGCTAGACCGTAAGTTCCAGTGTCCCTATCGCATCATCGATTTTTGGTTGATAATGGGATTGCAGTGCCGGCTTATACTATCCCCGCGGCTCAGCCCTCGGCGGAAGTGCGCAAGTCAACGCCATGAATTTTGCCTGGTGTCCTGATAATGAGTGGGACTACATCGCCAATCTTACGGGCGATGCCTCCTGGGGCCATGAACACATGCGCCGACATTTGATGAATATCGAGAACTGTACCTACGTCCCTGAGGGCACTCCTGGTCATGGTTTCGATGGCTACCTGGTGGTAAGAATCAGCCCTTTTTCTTCGTGGCGGATTATACTGAATTGTCATCTATAGAACGACCAGAGCAACGCAACGGTCAACATCGGGTCTCCTAATGTCGCCAACTTCTTCTTACATATGTTCCGCGAGACTGAAGGCATTGATGTCGAAGATCCCGCCGAGATGACCGAGCTTCTCCTCCGCGATCTCAACGGTATCGACCCTCTTCGCTACGAAAACGGCCTAATGTACAGCACGCCCGTCGCAATCGATCCCAGCACAGCTGCCAGAAGTGGTGCTGGGATTTACATCAACCAGGTCATCGATGCCGGACACCCTTTGACTATCAGTTTCCACTCTCTGGCGACACGAGTTCTCACCAAACAGGGTCGCAATAAGAAGCCCCGCGCCTATGGTGTGGAGTATATGGTTGGTGAAGGGTTGTACTCAGCTGATGGGCGATATGATCCTGAGCAGACTGGTGAGATTCGGGAGGTGTACGCTAAGCATGAAGTCATTGTTTCTGGCGGCGCTTTCAACACTCCGCAGATCCTTATGCTAAGTGGTATTGGCCCACGCGAGGAATTGGAAGCTTGGGATATTCCTGTTGTTGTCGACCTACCTGCTGTCGTGAGTAATCCAGCTAATCTTCAACTGTTCCATGCTGACCACCTCATTAGGGCTCTAACCTACACGACAACTACGAGGTTCCTGTTCAAATCCGCGGTGAAGAGAATTGGCTTATCCCCAGAGAGTCTCCCTGTACTGGTACCTTCGATGACGAAGACCCCTGCTTCGTACTCTGGCGGGACGACGCGTCGGGACCATACGCAGCACGCGACAGCAGCTACGGCGCCGTCTGGCGAAGCAGCCAGAGCTGGGACAATGACTCGGATCTCATGTTCCTCAGCAGTCCAGGTCTTTCGGGATTGGTAGGTTTCTACCCAGGCTACTCAACCGGCGAGAGAGCAGGCAACGATCCCGCAGAGTGGATGCACGCTGTCGTCAAGATGCAGACGAGCAACAGCGCCGGCACCGTTCGACTCAACTCATCCGATCCTCGCATCCGTCCCAACATCAACTTCAACTACTTCACCGAATCTGCTGAGCGTGATCTCGACGCTATTGTTGAAGGAATTGAGTTGCTCAGAAGGGCATTTGACGCGACTGGTGTTCCGTACACGCAGCTCAGTCCCGATCCCGAGAACCTGAGACAGAGTATTCAAGACTTGGCTTTCAGCCATCACGCCTCATCAACCTGCGCCATTGGAGCTGATGACGATGAGAAGTCTTGTCTTGACTCGAGATTTCGCGTGCGTGGCGTTGATAATCTGCGCGTTGTCGACGCGTCTGTCTTTCCTCGAAGCCCTGGAGGTATGCCCAACGGTCCGACCTGGACTATTTCTCGCAAGGCTTTTGAGACTCTCCTGGAGGACAATCATTAAGCTGCCATAAAGGGATGTTTGGATCACTAGTGGTGGTGGCCGAGGGACTGAGTTGAGAACTGTGGATTGGGATGAGAAGTTAACATTCAGATGAATTACTTGTAGATGAGATTTGTGGCTAATAGCGTTTATCCGCACAGTCAACATGGAGTTTCTTCTACCAAATTGTGAACTTTTCGCCTTTACTTCAACCTATTACATACATTATATATTAGATAGTCAACAATCGTTCAATACTTTAAGCTTCTTTTGGTCGCTGCAAAAAGGAGAAATATAGAGTCCAGGGTACGAAATTACTGAGAACTCTATTCAGACCCAATAGCCTATCACAGCGCTCACCCCTTCAATAGTGGCTCACCTCCTGACCAATGAAACAGACCCGCCTCACTGTCAGATTAAGACATGGAGAAAAAAAAAGATGACAGCAAAACTTTGATCAAGTCCTGTCCATCGGAATCCTCGGATGTGCACGATACAGGGCTTCAAGTCACCCATAAACCCCTTTCTAGAAGAACCAGTCACACTATTACACCAGCCGCATCCTATTTTCAATCGTCGCATGCCTAGTGCGCCATCTTCAACAAGGTTGTTAGTGCTGACTACTCACGGGCGGCCGAAATTGCCTCAACTTGCGGGGAAGACGGAGCATCCTACGACGAATCAACGTAAGTTCACGTCCCAGAAACACAAAAAGGTGAGGCCGGGGGCAACACATAATGCCATGTCTGATGTACATTCTCTCAAAAGATATGGTGTTTCATGTACCTACCTACTCATTCATATTACCAAGCTATGACTAACACTTTCGATGCCCATTAGATAACGGGCAGTCAGACCTGTCCCAGGCTGGACTGCTGTAGGCCATGCGGTCTAAACATCAGATATTCATCACTGTCCCTATCCCGAGCCGCGTGCCGCCGGAAATCGTCCTCGCTCACATCCAGACCTACACGCCCATGCTGGCCAACAACGATGTCATTATGAGCTTCAAAGAGACGACGCCCAACATGGAGCTCGTCACCAAAGACCCATTCTTTGGCACGCCGAACAGCAGCGTGAGGACCTTTTCGTCCAGCGAGAGACTCATGCTCGCGCCCGGCCTGACGAGGGATAGGAGCTGGCCCGTGACGTGTCTGAGTATACCGAATGGTATCCGCTGTAGAGCTGATGCCAAGGCTGGTGTCACTGTGAGGACGGAGTGGATTGTGAGGCCGAGGCAGGAGTTTGGAAGTAGTCCCGGTACTAGTAGTCCGGGGACGCTGGTGGAGGAGTGGGAGCTGTATGAGGAGGTTATCATTGAGGCGAATAGTCTTCTTATGCCGTTTGTTGCGAGGACTGCGGATGAGGTCCATAGAGGGATCTGTCAGAAGGTCGTGGATGAGGTTGTGAACAAATACTTAGCCAATGGTACTCATTGATGAATTTTAATAACATATACCTACTCATTTTGATACTGATTAACGATAATTCCTCGTTTCCCCTCCTGATGGCCCCCAGAGTGACATGAAGTCCTTGCTCAAGGTTTGGGTGACTAGTTGAAGCTTAGAATCCTTCAACCGCAACTCACCTGAGGCTCATCTCACTTATGCACCAGTAATACGGGCTCTCTCGTATAACTGCTCTCCACTCACAAGATATCCAAGTCTCCACTCTCACGCAACACCACGATGGAGAAACCTGTGGAGTCTTTGCGAGACATCGAGACATCAAAAACACCGCGTAATTGGTTTAGTGGTAAAATTCTCCGTTGCCATTCGAGCAGCGTCGGGGAGCCCAGGGTTCGATTCCCTGATTACGCATTCAATTGACGCTTCAAAGCGTCTTCTTTTTGTTCCTTTTGCATGTCTTCTCATGGTTGCGGTGTTGAGATAGGCTGGAACACGTACGAAACTTGGCGACAATCAACGACCAAAGCTAGTGCATACTAAAATAAGTAAGAATGAACTTTTGTAAAATGATACTATCAGTTAAACGATCGCATTTCAAGTGAATGCGGATAAACTTGCGGCCATGAAACGTCGAATAGTTTTAATAGAAAATTGCGTTTTGGTCTTTGTTGCAAGGAGGGGGTACCACAATCACTCTCGCAGCCAATGCGTGCCAGAGCTGACGCCCGAACTCCCCATGCTTAATTCGCAAACGTCTCATACATGATGACCGCCACAGGAACGATAGCATCATCTCGGTAAACCACCGTCTCTGGTTGAGAAAGTATCTCCCCTCACTATGTATCGCACCTACAACCTGCAACTGTGAGTTTAGTATAATTGAGCTAACTGTTGGATGCTACAATATCGTCTGAAGTTGTCCGATAAGCGGAAGATGGAATGAGATGTGGCCAAGAGCTTGAAACAGCAGAAAGAACCTGGAAATGAAGTTCGTAATTTATGATTTGTTGAATGATAGTGGATGATTGAGCTAGGTTGCTGGAGGTTCGTAACATTCGATAAAAGGTCAGAAGGTGGGCAAGAGCTGGGAGAGAACACCAAAGAGAGGACAAGAATCGGGCCAGACCGCCTCAACAACACTCCCTCTCAACGGCTGCACCTCTCCATCTCCATCTCCCTCACCCTCCCTCACAACAGCCCACTTCTTCAGAGATTTCCTCAGTGTTATATTGATTCTTGGTGGCGATCAACAAAACTTAGGAACGCTTGCGGTCGCAGAAATGCGCCCCGCTCCATTGGCAGGGGCACACTTTATATCGCAAATGCCATGAAGTTCACATCATAGACAGATTGTGACTGCCGACTGCACAAGGGTCAAGCTCACTTGCTGGTGGGCAGTCGGAACCTCAAAGTTGCACTTTCAATCTCGTCGGGGAAAAGCGACTCCATGCCAGCTCGACGATCGGATTCAGCCCTGGAAATTTCATCAGGTATAAGAGATAGACAGTGAAGGCCTGCAATGTCTCCCGAGACGCCTCAGACTGTGAGAATCCTAGTTCATTCATATTTTTCAATGACATCCATACTAGGCGGTGAATGAATCGGATGCACCTGCTCAGACGATGGTTATGTTGAGTTTCCAGATACGACTGCTGCTGCTTCCTTTGCGCGCCTGACTTGCGCCTCCCAGAGTACCCAAGAATCAGAGTGGACAGAGACAGAAAGGAAAATGAAGAAAGTCAAGATTTCTCTCCAACAAACTCCCAACAAGACATCATCATCACTCATCTTAACACTACGAACCATCAACAGCATTCAGCAGCATTCATCACTTGTCCCGACTATGGCTGAAAGTGATTCTGATTATTCTGATTCTGGCCTTCCAAGTCTGAAACCGTTTCTGATTCCGGGATTTGATTACAGCAGCACACAGAGAAATCACGTCACGCAGACCTCGACACCCCACGATCCCAATGTCCCCGTCGAGGCGCCTATCGAGAATGCACCTGATACTGAGTCTTCACAGCCAGAGAGTTCAAACGCCCAGAACACTGGAAGTGACCCAGCAAACCCCTATACGGATGCCCCAACCGAGGAGGATCTTGTCAGTTCAGAAACAAACTTCGACACGGAAACCTCAGTAGACCCCGACCACAACGGCCCCGTCGAGGAGCCTGTCGAGTGTTCACTTGATCCTGGACCGTCACAGGCGAAGATCTCGGAGGCCCAGAGCACCGGAAGTGACCAGGTTGAGAGAAAATGTAGCAATGGAAAATGCATAAGGCCAAGGGTTCCTCCTTTCGAGACGTGTCAGACATGTCGTGAGTATAGACTTGCAAATTACAGGTGATCATAGACGAAACTTCAACCCCGAATAAGATTCAGCTTTAACTGACCACTCAAACAGGAGAAGAAATGGGCTGTGTGAGGGTTGTGGGGGTGGCGTAGGGGAGACTGGTGAGGAAAAATGTGACCAGTGCAAGTCTAGAGGAAGGCGTGCTGGCCAGAGAAAAAGTAACGATTGGCGTTCGAAGGAGTAGGTAACACCCTGGTATGAGGAGAGTTTGCATTTGCTTCGTGTGGCCTCGAGTCGATGGCATCCGAAGGCCCTGCGGGATTGGTTTATTGGCGTCTCTAGCAGCTTAACTTATAAACGTTTTCCAGCACAGCTATTATTTTACGACCCAACAGGCCCCTCACGTGTACCCCACATTTTCCACCAATCGATCCGTACGGCGCACTCGATACGGCGCAGAGTGACTTTCTTCTGTGCGAAACTTAAGGTAAGTACTACAGATCGATCAAAAACGCGCCGCTTGTTCTATCGAAACGGCAGAACAACCGGCACACTAAAACTAACCTAAAATACCCTATATTTTAGTGACTTTTTTCTAACTTTACCTAATTAGGTTTACCGTAATTAAAGTACATTAGCCTGGATTGATTTTTTCGAAATGTAACATCCGCCAACGCTCAGTCTATACGCCATACGTATTTTGCAAACATCAACCTAGTATGGACTAGTTTCCCTGTTTGAGACCCAAAACCGTCACAGAGAGAACCTAGCCATTACTAAGATCTTTAGCATACCTATATAGAGTTCGTCAACGAGACCTCGAGGGTCAGCTACCACAGCTTCCAGCACATGAATAAGGAATGAGAACAATAGATTCATAACTAACGTGAAAGAGTGAGGTAGTTAATAAGACGTATACCTATACTGTAAGAGAATGTTCAAATGACAATAAATCCTCCGTTCTTGGCTTGAATCTGCTTACGCTCCCCGAATTATCGTATGGCATACCTAACTCCGAGGTGCTGAACTAATGAACGTCCTGGTACTAGCAACCCCATCCCTACAAACCCCTTCGCCATAGAGCTATCTCTCGCCAACCACTTTATGGCCCTTAAGGTGGACCGCACTTCCAGCTCTTGTAGTGAGGCTTCTTGGTAGTCTTGAACGCAAAGTTGTCCGCTCCCTCAAGACTGACAAAGCTTCCCTTACAATTGGCCTCAGTATACACCTTGCAGTCGAAGCAGCTGACAAGGGACTTGGTGTCGTCAGAGTAGACATCAAAGTTCTTGATGTTGGCGGGAAGATTGTAACACTTTCCGGGTTTGCCGACACCAGTGAAGGACTTGCCGGGCTTGATCTTGAGCTTGATGAGATCAATGCCCGGGTTGCAGTGATCGGTGCGGGTTTCGAGGGTGACGTCTTCTTCAATGGCCATGGCGCTGGCGCCGAGGCCGAGAGTGATGATGGTGATGAGAGAGGATAGATGCATTTTGATGGTGTTGGTTATTGTTCTTGATGAGATGCTTGGATCTTGGACTCTTTGTGATGATGAATCTCTCATCAAACCGAGCAGTCCCTCTGCTATTTATGCTTCAATCAGGGTCCTCTTCCAAGAATACTTCAGTTACTATTGTCGCCTTCTTCAGAAGTAATATTCCATCAATCCAATCCGGTATGCCACCAAAGCCTATGAATAGCTCCCAGATCCCGTCCTCCGACGGCGAGAAACGTGGAGCTTTTCGTCTGCAATGAATCAATCCATGGTTCTCAGGCTCACATCTCTCCGTGTAAAAGCGCAGCGAGTCGATTCGGAGTCCGCATTGTTACCTTTCTGCGGTCAACTATTAATAGTGACGTGCCTCCGTCGAAAAGCGCAGCGAAATCATTGGAGCCACGCTCTCACGACCACTACTCCAAATTACCGTTGCATCAAATGATCAAGCGAGGTAAACACTCTTTTAGCAGATTCGGATTGTAGATCTAATAATACTTATGGTGTGATCTATTCTCGGAAAAGGTCCTTGGTGACTTCAATCGTGGTAGTAGAGTTTCAGCATGTCACTAAGAGATATTGATAGGAAGGCCACAGAAGGGAGTCATATCACAGCCCCATGCAACGCAAACTAAATTCCGTCACTCCTCTGTTATCTGTCTCAATCCTCAGACTCGTCTTATCTAGACTGCCAGCCAACCTGCGTTCGAGACGGCACCCACTGATGCTACCTTGGAGTTCCTGAGCAGCCTCCGATACTCCTCAATCTTGGAGATTCCAACCATGATCAGCTCCTCTTCCACTGCTGGAGCGAGGCCATCCTTCCAGAGACAAATCATTCCATTAACCTGCTGATCGTCAATCGTAACTGACATCACAAGATCCCTCCCGTCCCTAAGCTCCCAAGAAGCTCTGCCGTGTACAACCATTCCCGTTGGCTTCCAATGTAGTTCGCCCAAGCCACCACTCGCAGTGTATTTTCCATCAGCACCCTTCATCGTAATGGTGCGACTCTGCTGTGAGAATTTGACCTCCGTCTTGGGAGGGATGCTGTGAAAGTCGATCATCGCGATCTCCGCGTTCTGATTCGGAGACTTGACGTAGCATTTATCGCCCCAGACTTCAAGAACAGCTCGCCGTTCGACTTCGTAGCGAGGTGTTTTGTCGCCCTTGACACCCAAGATTCGGCGGTGTCCGACAAGAGCGGTGTAGTGCATCTCCAGCGCGGGCTTTTCCGCGCTGCGTCGGGGGTCGGGAGTTACGTCCTCGCGAACAATGAACTTTTCAAGCCAGGAGGGGGCCATCTTGAATTGAGAGGATATTTGTGAAGGGGGATCTAAAATGTTGGTGCTCAGGAGTGGAAAGGGATTCGTGGCATGTCTTGATCCAAGCGTCGCTTTAAGCTGAGAACGAGAACCCATGCAAGTTCAGTGAACCCTTAAATCTGACAGCAGAAACCTAACTGAACAGGGCTTAGCCATTTCCATGACAGTTTAGTCTTACGTATTAGAATATCATGTCATGTAACAGGATGAAACTTTATCCTGTAGACAGGCTATTCTCTTGCACGATTCCACATCATGCAGGGATGATTTGCCTCAATGGAAACTTGAGCATCATCTCGAATAGTGATTTGCGTGTAAAGCACCCATATCTGAGGTCTTTGTCAAAAAGAACACAATAAATGAACAATTCCGCACCAAGAATTGTGTACTTTGTACTTGAGCTTCGAACAGAACCTGAACCTTCAGAAGTAGCCTGATTACCTCCAGCACAAATGAACATCAGAATCTTGTCGGCAGTACAGTAAAGCAAGGCTCCACAGTGATTATAAGGCGTGAATCTGGTATAAAATGCGACATTCAACCGACACTTGGGACTGGGATGAGATCATTGACATGTTGATCACCTTGTCCAACTGGACTCAGTCGAAACTTACCAAGGTGTTTCTCTGCAGTTTCTCGAAACTAAACGAAGCCAGATCATCATGCCTTCCAGGAAGTATTGGGGTCAGCGAGGACAGGGTAGACGATTTCGTCCCAAGCCCTTCGATTTTAGTTACATCCTGAATCCATATCCTCCTGTTGCAAGCCATCTCGCTAATTCAACTGACAGTCTATCTCTTGCGGACGAAACAGCCAGCCAATCCACCAATCAAGACAGTGATCCTGTCATATGCAAAATCAGGTCGTGCCGCAATCCAGTCCGAGCGAACCGCAAGCGTTGCGGCGATTGTCTAGATAGAATGTCGGCTCAAAGGCGAGCTCGCGTCCAGAAGCGCCGAAGGCAGGGCGTCAGAGATCCAATCACTGGCGAGACGACCAAACAATGCGCCGACTGCGGCAGGCCCTCTGACAAGTATAGGTGCCCCCAGTGCTCTAAGAAAGGCTCTGCTGCGAGCCTGGCCTTCTACCACAGACGGCGCGAGAAGGGTCGATGTCCAAAATGCGGCGGGGAAATAGACAGAGAGGGGTACTGTTGCGAAAGGTGCCATTTGAGAGATCTCAGCATTGGAGAAACAAGAAGAAAAAGAAAGAGCCGGGGAGATTCTGTTTGAGCTATAAAAAGCTCTCCATGTAAGGAAAGTAGATCATAAAACTAGAGATATCAGTCCTTATGGATGAAGATGGCGTCATATTGCGAACCAATTTTAACTGAACCCTTTTATTTCCTTGCTGCTTAGACTTTATTCTTACAGCTATTCACGACGTGAGTTCCACTCCCGATCAAAGTTTGTCAGCGCCCTCTGCGCCGTAGGTACGCAATCCAAAGCCTTGATAGAGACTCGAGGCGGTAAGCTGAGCATGTACAACACCGACTGCGCTAAATCCTCTGCAACCAGCGGCTCATATCCCTCGATAAAGTCATCCATAGCACTCTGATCGTACTGAACGCGTTGAAGATGGAAATGTGTCTGGACAACGCCTGGCCGAAGAACTAAAACCCTGATGTCTGAACCCGCCGTTTCCATGCGAAGACTGTTGGAGAAGCCCTCGAGGAAGGCTTTTGATGCGTGATAAACTGCTTCGCCGTTGAAGGGTGGACACTCGAGACCTGTGACGGAGGAGACGTTGATGATGGTTCCTTTCTTTCGTTCCCACATTGAGTGGTTGAGGACTGCGTGGGTGGTGAACATGACGCCGTTGATGTTGGTGTTTGACATCTGGGCGACTTGATCGATGGGGATCTCCCAAAAGCGTCCGGGGGTGCCGAGTGCAAGACCGGCCTGAGAGGTTATTAGTACTCAGATATCAGTCTCATAGATATGTTGTCCACCCACATTGTTGATCAAGATGTCAATCTGGCCAAGCTCAGATATGGCTGACTTGACAGCCTTTTCTATGTCGGGCTGGTTCTGAATGTCTACGGGGTAGACTCCGACCTTGACCTCAGAGAATTTGGATGTGATCTTGTCGCGTACTGCTTCAAGCTTATCCTACATCGAGGACACTCATCAGTGAATGGATTAAGGGTTTGTTTAATCAGTTCGCACCTTGCTTCGAGATACTAGGGCAATGTTCACGCCATGCTCAGCCAGCGCCAATGCAATGGCTTCACCAATACCCATAGAGGCTCCAGTCTATAATATAATCAGCATCTCTGAAGTTCACTATCCATGGATACGAACAATGAATGCTGTCTGTCCCTTCAAGGCCTCCATTTTGTCCAGCAGTTTGATAAAAAGCCCAGCCGATGTAGAGGACCAAGAGAGATATGCACTGCGATATATATATCTTTGAGCTGAAGGGTCTTTTCATAGCTGATAAATCAACTTTGTATTCATCACTCTGTAGTTAAATCAAGGCCCATAGTGACGTCGACGATGACTAATAGAGGATAGTTCCAATTCGTATAGAATCCGAGTACTCGGAAAACACCAAGCTGAAAATCTGCAACCTCACGATACTAAGTTAGATACGCTTCAATTTCTCGTTATATTAAAACACCATTTCTTTCAGGTGTTCTTCTCCTTTCTCACAGCGTCCGCTATCGCATCCATGCTTAGTAATGGAACTCATGATGTCGAGATGTCATGGAAGCGGGGTAGCTCAACAAACGGTGTTTACGTGAGGGGGTAGTAATACCAGCAAAGTCCAGCTACATAATATCTTCGAATGAATGATAAGAGAGATATAAAACTATACAGCGTCCTCCAGCGTGACTGTCATTCCCCAGTGTTCTCACCGGATGAGAAAGCTTCTGGATATAGCTCAGCCATCTTCTCATACAATGACAGAAGCCGAGTGGTCAAGAACGAACTCAACAACCCTGGCGCTATTCGTGGTGTGGTGACCGGTAATCATACTACTGGTGAGAACTTTGGTCTGGTTGGCGTCACTTATCACCCTGAAGACAGACCACGTGCCTTGAGAAGGGCACCGATTGAGCCTTTGGATCGTGAAGGGCGGCAGTTCCTGCGTCGTTTTGACGATGATGCTACTGATCCTCATCGGGTGACCACTTGGCCTCCTCGAGATGAGGATGCAAGTGAACTTCAGGCATATGAGGAGCGGTACAAGCAGGTTAGAAGGCCTCGCCCGCCTCAACAGCAAAAGGCCAAGCAAAGGGCACCCAACACGAATTGAGGTCAGGATGGATATTTTGTACGTAATTTGAGGGAGTTATTGTATGGAGTAGGATCCTGAATACGGGTTTGTGTAGAGATTCAGATTTGTAACTTGATTAAATAGTATGTTTTGACTATGTGATCTCTGTTGCAACATTCCCGTGTCCCTCCAGTAGCCTGGGTGGGACTGGCCATCGATCCCGTATTTTGATGTCGTAGGCGACTGGCAAACAAACCTTTCGATATGTGCTCTGTTTCTCACACGATGGTCGCCTGCTGGAAATCCGCCTTGCTCACAGCCTCACCATACATAACCCCATGTACATAAGTCTCCCCAACCAAAACCCATCCTTGAGCGCCCTTCCGTAGCACAAATGGGACATGTGCCCCTGCGATCAAACTCAAAACATCCCCAACTTCTGTTCTCGCTGGCCCCAGTCCCAAGTAGCCCTTCTCTGTTATGAAAAGCACTCTATCAGTCCCAGCATCATCTACCGCAATCGCAAAGATATCTCCCTCCTCCGGATCAGGCTTCTGCTTAAACCGAAGATCATGCTTCGCATCAGAAGCAGAGTCTGAGATACGAGCAAGATAATTTGCAAAATGAGCGCTGCAAGCATCAGGTGCAGGATGTGTGGTGAGCCAGATATTCGTTAAAAGGGTTCGCCACAGCGCCTCAGGGACGGTTGTTGAAGGTTGGGGCGGATAGGCTATGTCAGCCAGACGAGTCTTCCCTGGGTACCATGACCGAAGACTCTTGTAGAACGCCCGCTCTTCTTCTTTATTCTTAGGCAGAGGGGCAATCTTGATGATTCTTTCCAAGATATGAGCGCTCACTGATAGTATTCTTCCGTTTTCAGACAACGAGTAATCACCCTTTACATGAGAAGTCGCGTGAAAGACTCGCCAATTGTGATCATAAAGCCGCCTCCCCCGAGCCTTTTGAGCCTTCATCTCTTTCAGGAACAGTGGCTCAGTCGCAACGGCGCTCGCCATCTTCGGAACCCAGCTTGGATAGCCAGCCCCCTTTCCAAACCAATCTGGCTGGAGGGCAGCGTCAAAGACATCTTCTTCCAGCGGCGCCCAATCTGGTTGCTTCTTAGGAAATCGCTTCTTGGCCTTCTGTCTGTCAAGTAACTTGTTGCCGATTGGCTTCTTCGACGTAAACTTGTATGCCTCCCGAGGAAGAGGATGGTTGACCAAAGATAGGACGAGAAGACCTGCGTCGCCGCTGACGAGACGTTGAGCTATGTCGAGGTAGAAGTCGCCCATATTTCGATTGCTGTAATTTGGTTTGAGAGGTTCCCTGCCAAGCGTTGTTTGATCTGTGATGCCGAGAAAGGCCCAGACCTTGTCACGCGGATCACCAGCCATTCTCGTACCTCCAAGCATCGTCACATCAAGGAGGTTGAGCTTTCGCCCAGCCTTCTTCAAGTCAAACATCGAAGGCTGAAAGTTAACCCAATGAGGCACCATCTTTGGCGACAAGTGACTCGCAACAAAGTATGTCCAGTCCATGGCCTTCTTCAGCTCTGACGCCGGTACTTCCTCGCCATTATAGTAGAAGGCATATTCCTTTGCAAGTATGAACTCTTGAACAGTCCAGACACGACTCCACCAACTCTCTGTGACTATTCGGAGGAGACTGAGCCATGATATCAGCTCCGAGCCTGTTGAAGTGGCATCAAAGAAGGCCCTTGCAGAAGCGTACTTTTTGCCGTGGAATTGGATATCGGCATTGTCTGGGTCTTCTGGGAATGCCGGCCACGCTTTGAGAATGCTCATCGCCGCTGTTCGTTCCGTATGCTTTCTGCCAAGCCATATGAAGACCTTTTCAGCTGCACTGTATATCTCATCCATGCGAGCAACCTGGACAGTCTTCTCATCCATGTCGTCTTGGTTAATACATACAGCGTCGGTCCAGATAGGTCTGCCGTTGAGGTATTTGTGTAAGCCAAGGAGGGCAGCGTGCAAGTTAGCACCGATGGGGAATAGTTTGTTGTTAATTGCTATATCGACTGTATCGGCATGGCTGAAGTGAGGAACCTCAAGCTCAGTCTCACGAAAGTCGCGACCACGATTCCACATTGGTCCGAAATCGACCCAGACGTAAGATAGACAGACATAAGGCGGTATCTCGGATGCGGAGTAAGTTTTCATAGTCAGAGAAAGGACCGAGTCATTGACTTCGACCTGAACAAGACGTATTCCCTTTGCGTCTTCAAGCGGCGAGTGAACCAACTTCTCTGTTGACAAGTCCTATTTCAGATTCAATTCTGCAACTTCAAGATGACGATGGTGTTATCTCTTACAGGCTTTTGACCAGATGACCCTTGAAGGCTTGAAAAGAAACCAGATAATCTTTCTTGACCGGACTGGAAGGCTGCTTTGTAGCCTGCTCTGACCCCCTCAGCGGTTGAGTAATCCACTGCCCATTTCGCCAGGGCTACGAAAGCATCGCTGCTGTTTTCGGCTTTGAAATTGGGATCACGGGGGATCCGAGCTTCAAATGGTATATCCATGGTTATCGAGAAAGAGAAAAGTCATTGAGTTGCTGTCAAATAAAATGTGAAGGTTGGAGATGACTTGAGTCTCACGGCTTACTCTCTGATGATCTCCTCAGCTGTGACGTAATTGTGCTTCCTTCGCTCAAGCCAATGAAGAGGATGGGTGTTGTTTCACAAATGATTTCACTCTTTTGCATTTTCGATGTCTATTTTACCTCGTCTCTTTTCATATTGGCATGAATGGAGGCTGTACCTTGGCTGTACTCTTTTCTCAACTGTAGGTTGCCAAGATCTTTCGGGCAGTACAGAGCTTAAGTTGATCGTGGGGCCTTCGGTGGCGCAACATCACTAAAGACGAGCGCTAGATAGCCGCCCCAATCCCCTAACTCAGGCCTGGAGTGACCATCGATCCCCGCTGGTTTTAATCTTTGCGTCTAATTTTAACTTGGTGTTGATGACGAGTATTATAGTCTTAACTGACATACTTGTATGTAATCAAACTCATCACGTTCCTTACCAGCGATATCCAATTTCCTCCATATCCTTGAGATGACAACTATCCATTTGCCATAATAAGCGTCGGTGTTCTCAATGAGTAAAGCTTCAAGATAAGCTTCTGACGGTCCAGATTACCGGGTCACAACTGCGACTCCAACGGTCAGTGTAACCATGAATGGAAAAGTCCAAAAGTGGAAGATACAGCAAGGTTCTATCCCCGACTCACGTTCCAAGATCCGCCCCCAGTTCTGGCCAAACATGCCATCCCACCATCTCCGCAACACTAGACCCAGTTCTTCATAACCTTGTCTCAGCCAATGGCGTCTCCACGTGCGCTCCAATTAAACCGCGTAATTTCCAGCCTCAAAACCATCCTCCATCAACTAAACTACCTTCCTCATCAAGCATATATAATGGCGCTGTCCTGGTTCCGCTGCAGAGGGAGACTGCTCGCTCTCACTGCAGTTTTCTCCTTCGGCACTTTTTTCGTTTTGAGACAATACGCAGATATGGCGTCCCTACCGAAAAGCTCGTTACTTGGCCTCCTTGCGGCTGCGCCGGTACTGGGAAATGACCCAAATATGAAGTGGTATCCTCCGAGCTCTAGTCAGGTTAATGACCTTGATAAGGTGTTGGATGGGAAAGGAACTTGGGGGTTCATCTATGAGTCGTCGCATACGCCGGATGATAAGTATGGGACGTATAATTGGTGTAACATGCCTCATGCGAGGAAGAGGGAGTATAAGAAAGCTCCGAAGGATTATGAGTTGCAATATGTTGAAGTGGTAAGTGGAATATCCCAGGGCACACTTTTGATACGGTTACTAACTTGATGGTAGATTCAAAGACATCACAAGCGTACTCCCTACGCAGCAAACGCCTTTCCCGTTGAGCCATACCAATGGAACTGCGATAACCAAGGCCTTTACTATTTCGGCCGCCAATTCACAGAACCCCCCAAGCCTAACGCCCAAGGCTACTGGAAAGGTTTCACATCAGATATCAACCCCTTCATCCCCTCCGGATGGATCGGATCCTGTCAATTTCCTCAAATCACCGCCGAAGGTCTCGATGATTCTTGGGTCCATGGAAAGGATCTCTATGAAGTTTATCACGATCTTTTGAAATTCATCCCAGGCCGCAAGGAAGATTGGCGAAGCAAAGTCATGTTTCGAGTTACCAATAACCAGATTACGAGTCAGGTTGCTGGCATGTTCATCAACGGCATGTATCAGACCACCGAATCCGTCCCGTTGCTTATCCAACAAGCTGGCGTGGATAGTCTTGAGCCGCAGTACAAGTGCAGTGTTGGAAGCCAGTTGACGAGCGCAATCAAGTCTTCCTCTAACAAAGAGTGGCAAAAGCATCTTGACAAGACAAAGGATCTTTACAAGACGCTTGACGACATCTCTGGTGTACCATCTAACGACGTTGGGTTCCATGAGAGTTTTGATCATTACTATGATAACCTTTCCGCTCGCCAATGCCACAAGAAGCCCTTCCCCTGCAAATTAGTCAACGGGAAGAACTCAACTACCTGCGTCGACCAAACACTCGCTGACAAGGTCTATCGTCTCGGCCAATGGGAATACTCCCAGATGTACCGCGACGCACCCGAATCGCTCGCTGCGTCCGCTACTTCATGGGGCGTCTGGATTGCCGAGCTAGCAAGCCACTTCCGCGCTGTCGTAGCCGGCAAGCGAGATCTCTTGTATCTTCATAACTTTGCACACGATGGCTCTATCAGTCGACTGTTGAGTATTCTTCAGATCGATTTGATGGTTTGGCCGGGTATGGGAAGTGAGGTTGTTTTTGAGCTTTACAAGAAGAAGGAGGATTATTTTGTTAGGGTTCTTTGGAGTGGAAAGACTTTGAGGTCTTCGCACCCGGATCTAGGCAAGATGGAGATGGTGCCTGTGAAGACTCTTCTGAAGTACTTTGATGGGTTGACGGGGAAGGATGCTAGTCTTGTCAAGGGACGATGCTCGGGGGATGTTCCTCTGTAAATTGGCACCTTATGGCTTACTTGATGTTAGAGCTTGATATCATTGGCTGGCTTACATGAATACGTTGCTAGGCAGACAGTTACACAATCGTCCCGAATATGAGCACAAACACTCAACTAGGTGGTACAGCTCTCAACAAATTGTTTGCTGGTTTACAAACGAAGTCTTGTAGCCTGCAGTGGGCCTTTCAGGACCAATGTTTAATATGTCCCTAAACCAAATTACTTTCAAACACAAACATTTAACCACGCACGTTTTTATCAACCCATGCCTCAACTTACCTATAATAACTTCTCTGTCTCTCTTTCAATAACAAAGCATAATCCAAGTCTGGCCTATTCTTCGGACCATATTCCTAGCCCTCAGATGATGCCATCAGCCTAGCGAAGCCGAAAATGCCCTACTGTCCTCCTTGTGACAGGCACTTCCGCCTAGAGAACTCCTTGGACCAACACATCCGTGCCGTACACTCTCAGACCTACTGTTGGCGCTGTGAAAGACACTTTCCGCACGCACGTGCAAAGCAACAGCACCTTGAGAACTCTCCACGGCATCACATCTGCACTCACTGCGATTACGAGCCCGACTTCGACTCACAAGATGATCTGGCAGATCATCTGATAGAAGAACACCATGCTTGCATTCCATGTCATGAATATTTCTCCGACGAGGAAGATCTTCTGGAGCATGATGTGGATGTTCATCATAAATGCCGAACCTGCGGCCGATTCTTCAGCTCGCGATCGAACCTGATCAACGTTGGTCTTCCCAACTACTCTCTTATCTTTCTCAGCTCATACTTATACTTTCATAGCACCGCAAGACTCACGCCGCGAAAAATTTCGAATGCCTCGGATGTTCAAGGATGTTCATCTCCCGTTCAGCCATGGTGCTCCATCTTGAGGCCAACACTTGCGAGTCGGGGTCTGACGAACATTCCATCAGGCAGTGCGTTTGGGACTACTACGAGATCTACGGGCGCTGGAATCATGACCACGACGATGACCTTGACTGTGGTAGCTGCGGAACGTATTTTAACAAGTTGAGCGCTCTGCTGCAGCATGTTGAGAGTGAAAGCTGTGACGCGAGTATCTCGGACTACGACTTACTCTTCGACCATATAGAGCAAAGCATTTGCTAAAGCTAGGATCTTCAGATCGGCTTATTCTCTCTTCGTACAATATCTGGTCGTTAGCTTTCTTGGTGTAGGACAGAATACTCACATTGTTATAAGCTTGGTAGCCAAGAGACTCTTTATCGAGAAAGAAATAAGCAGCGATGGCCACCAATGCCCACAATAACATTTGAGAGATATCTATAGTAAGGCAAGGCGAGAGAAAATTCTGAAATACATTTACCAAGGAACATGAAATACCCCTGATGTGACAGGATATAGATCTCCCGCTCCGCGATGAAGTTCCATCTCTAGGCCAGTACTTGCTCATCGGAGAACAATATGAGGTCTTTAAATTGCCAGTACTATATCATTACCGCTGGTGAGGACGGGTTTCTGGCCTTGGCCATAGAATTCTGTATAGATGCCAATCAGTATATTAGATCAAACTAGTCTAAAGTTTACTAAAATATACTAAACTTTACCTAAGCCTTTGCATGCTTAGGATGAAGCTCTTGGGTTATCTTAACTCCTCTTGCTAGGCAAGTTCGGCTATCAGGTTCAGTGAAATAGTATCTACCGTGTAACTTCTAAAGAAGCCTGTCTGACAATTATCATATTAGGCAAAGTTCGACAACTCCCCGTGAAGGGTATCTTGTCTGTCTTTCTTGACCTTCTTTGAGCCTCAGCATTATACTTCGCGAAGAAAGTAATGCGCAAGACTGAGGATGTTATGTCGAGCTGCCGTGGCTGTATACGCAACTTTAGTCCACATCGTGCTCTTGATATTCACTTACATGATGAACATCAGGACACTGTAGAACGCGAACGGACAGCTAGGGGTTCGGGCAGATACATACCTAGGTATTCTGGAGGAGGTCTGGATACAGGCAGAGTTTGTGTCAATAGAGTTACGGAGTACAGTACGTTGATGGCTGCTGAAGTTCGTGGACGGGGCGGGGGTTCCAGGGAAGCGTAGCACCCCCGCTCTGCCGTGACGCGCCTTGCAACAAATTGCTTTTTGGAGTTCAGCCCAACCAAACCCTGAAACTCAATGAACAAGACGCGTTGTTGACTCCCTTCTCACCGTACCATGATGATTCTCTGGTGATGCCGGAGTTAGCTAATGAGAAACGCGGCTCTTTGCCTCTTGAATATTTTTTGCCCCCCGAATTCCAGCAATTCCAAGCTTCCTCGCCGCGATGGCGCGCGCACGCCGGAGAGCCAAGGTTGAAGACCAGGCGCCTATCGCGTAGCGCAAAAGCAGCCTACCAGCTGCAGCGCCCCTGCCTCTGCACTTCAACAGCGCCAACACCTGAACGGCCTTAACTCTTCTGAACTCGCTAGACAGGTTCCACGGCAATTGCAATTTTCGGACCATGGCGTAGACGCGTCTGGTGCCGGTTCCATTGGGGCTCAGAACATGGAGCGCACTTTTGCCATGGTGGAGAAACAAATGTTTATGCTCACAGCATGCTGAACGCTTCACTGCATGCCCTGCCGAATCATCTTCAATGACGCCAAGGAACCGGCGGCGCACAACTCCAAATGGTATTGGGACAAATTCCTATGTTTCGCGTGCGATATAGGATTCGAAACTGCCACAGATCTCAAGAAGCTCAGTCCTCGATGGCCCATCTTTCAACTTGATGAGTAACCTGGTTTGTCTACCAGCATTTATATTCGCATGACCCGAATCCAATCCAGTGCCCAGCGTGCGACCACAGATGGATCTCCTAATCACAGATGATGTACCATCTTGAAGGAAACCGGTGCAAGTCAGGCTTCAATTCCGCGTTCTTGGCTAGAGCACTATCCAAGCACTGTCATAAAATGATCGGACCGGCCTGAATATGACATGTCCGGGGTGCGAGGCCGAATTCAAGACTCTGTCCCTTCTGTTCCGCCACATGGAATCGAGACTCTGCGCCCTGAGGAACTGGCAAGAAGCAACGGGCCTGATGCATCTCCTCTTCAGCTTGACGCAAGAAATCGATGTGGCCAACAGGACTTGCAATATGTGCAAAAGACTGTTTGACTCTGAAGCCGGTCTTTTTGATCACGTGCGGTATCAACATGAGAACACCATCTGCCGAACGTGTGACAGGGTTTTTCGCGACTCGGAAGAATGGCATAAACATATCATCTCACGCACACCGATCAAAGTTCGGGCTTCCGTCTGCGCCATGTCCCAGCCTTCTGTTGCTTTTGACATGGGAAAGCACTACAACGACCATATGTGGCACTTCCACAACAAATGCGCGCCTTGTGGATTGAACTTCGGCAATAAGCAGGAACGGTTGGTTCACGGGGCTGTGGCTCATCATAGATGCCCTGACTGTTTCCAGTTCTTCATGTGCCCAGATGACCTATGCAATGTGAGTATTCTTTGCTTCAATTTGAATCTTCTAACATAATTGGCAGCACTACAAAGAGCTTCATGGGGTCAACCCTCTTACTCTGGTCGAACCGGCCTCGCCGACGGTTCCGGCTGTACCTATGAAGAAAGAATTTCCAACGATCACTTCTCCTCCAACGGTCACTTCCATTCCGACCACCGTTACCCAAGTAAAATCGGAAGCAAGCCCAGAAGCTCCCTTGAATAGAGTTGCTTCTCCGGAGATCAAACCTTCAGTGAGAACCCAAGGCCTTCGAATAAAGTGTGCGACAGCTCAAGCATCGGCTGTATTTGAGACTTATCCACCGAGAAGCGCTGTAGCAAAGGCCACGCCCAAGAGGAAGAAGATGGGTACAAGTCAGAGTTTGAAAACCAGTTTCTTGGTTTCTAAGGGATGAGCGGTTGGTCCGCAAGAAGAGCTGTGAAAGGGGTTGGCTAGGATAGTTGGAAACGATAGCAATTGGTGAAGAGACTTAGATTCCGAGCGCTTTGGATGATCTTGACCCAACTCCTACAATCACGGGTCTCCTAAATACATTGCCTGAGCTCTGACACAAATGAGGCTTCCATAAGGTAGGTAGAGATCTCTGCGGGGTATAGGGAAGCACGACCTGATAAATGCTGCCTGAGGTATTGATTGATTGTTCTGTTGGCAACCGTATTGAACAAGGCAGGAGCACCCAACCCAACCACAGGCTAGCATCACAAACATCCTCGTTAGAGAAAGCAACGTTCATTTATTGGCAACGCTCACAAAAGCATCACCGATCTCCACGCAAACTCTGCTTTCTCTCTGTTACACTCAAACAACGCCTGCTAAAATCTCTGAGACTACAACCGCATCACATGTTGCCATAATGGGGCGTGCACGTAAGCGCCTCAAGCTCGAAGAAGGAGAGATTTCATCTTCCGATGATGATTGCATAATCGTCGACGTGCAAGTCAAGAAAGGGCGCGAGTCAAAGCTCAAAGTTGCTCAGGGTCATGGTCATCATCTCTCAACTTCCAAAGCAAACACGGCGGCCCCTCATCCCTTTTGCAGCGAATGCTGCAGATATTTCCAAAGCGATGCCGAAAAAGAGCGACACTTCTCGAAGTGGCATTACGGCAACCTATGTATCGCATGCGACGAGGGTTTCCCAACAGAATCAGAGTTACTCCAAGTGAGTTCATTCACTTGGACAGTTACTTTCTGATCTGACCGATTTCTTAGCACAAAGCTACCCACAAAGAGTCCCCGATTTGCTGTATCGGCTGCAAGAAAGGATTCAAAACCTACTCAGGAATGATGGATCATCTTGAGCACGGCGCGTGCAAATCAACCTGCACCGTTCAGGTTGTCCGCAGTGCTGTAGCAACTCATTGTGCGCGTTTCCACCCATCCTCAACTCGGAACATCAACCTCCAATGCCCTACTTGCGACAAGAAGTACCGTCGCATGGGTCACGTCTTCAGACATTTCGAAAAAAGAGCATGCACTTTACGAAACTGGATCGAAGAAACAGGCCTAGTATATTTTCTCTCCACTCTCAAAACATCGATACAGGAGAATAAGGCGTCTACCTTCCACTGCAATGTCTGTCGAAAAAGCTTTGACCAAGAAGTTGGGCTAACGATGCACCAGAGAGATAAACACGGACATGCATTCTGTTGTGCTTGCAAGACACAATTTACCAGTCCAACCAAGAAGCAGAAACACGTCATGTCTAATCTTTCTGCAAAGCCTGGGACATTCTTCTGCGACCACTGTGATCCAAAAGTCCGCTTTGAATCGGAAAAGGAGCTGTGCGACCATTTGTGGCTGGACCACATCGCGTGTGGTCACTGTGGGCAGGTGTTTGAGACCTTTGAGCTCAAAAAACAGCACGATGCGGAGGCTCACAATAGGTGTGCTGTTTGTTACCGGTTCTTCGTGTCGAGTGCGGAACTCAAACAGGTGAGGGCACTGACCTTTATATTACTGCCCAAGTTTGCTAATTAGTTTCCTAGCACCGTGCGACCCATCAAGTCGAGCCCTCCATCATCGAGTCCCCTGTTGTCGAACCCTCCGTTGTACATCCACTACCGGCAAAACCAGAGCCGGTCCCTAGCCTCCAACGCGCATCCAAACAACTATACCGGTGAAGATGGAAATGTGCAAGGGAGTACATATCAGCAGGGTCGCCTCAGCAGTGGCATAAAGAGTCCTCATGGAAAAGAGAAATTGGCTCAGTCACTCGACTTAGATCATCTACACGACTTGAAATATTTACGCCATATCCGCCCAGACCAACTCCTACGCCCGAGCCTGAGAATAAGAAGACTCAGTCGCTAGAGCGGATCACATGCTTTTGAGTCGCAAGCCCTGGGAAGCATGAGCAAACAAGGGGAACGTCATGAAGCAAAACAAAGTATTACATTACAGGAGGATTTAGAACATATGGAGGTCCAAGGTTTGGGGCATCATTCATGTTACAGAAACAGAACATGTAATACACCATGATACACAAGTCAATCGTCAGTTTCATTAGCCAATGTCAGACTTTCAATCCAATAAAGAATGGCATATAATATGATATGCGGGGGATGCAGGTCAGCACGTGATCTAAGAGCCATTTATCGTGTTCTGTGTTGGTCTGCTCGTTCCCAAACTCACCACCAACATGAGTAACTTTCGATTCGAGAATGGCCCATCAGCCGCAGACTTTTCCGTCTCAAAACACGCCTACCTAGCCGCTCACCCAGAAGCCCAGTTTGGCTACATCGCAACAAGTGCTCTCGTGCTAGACACGAGCATCGCGTCTGAACCGCGCATCCTCCTACTTCAGCGCGCGGCAAGCGACGACGATCCCAACAAATGGGAACCTCCTGGTGGTGCATGCGATGATGAAGATGAGAGTGTTCTGAGCGCTGCTGCGCGTGAGCTCAGGGAAGAGGCTGGACTGGAGGCGAAGTGGGTTGGGGGCCCTGTTGGTGAACCGCATTTCTTTACCCTTGACGACGGGAAGAGAGTTTGTCAGTTCAATTTTCTCGTCAAGGTGGATCTGGGCTCGCAAGATGTCAAGTTATCTCCGGATGAGCATCAGCGATTTGTTTGGGCGTCGGAAAGTGAGGTTAGGGAGAGGAAGGCTGGTGATGTTGAGCTTGAGTTCACGAGAGACGAGGTTCAACAAACAGTACTTGCAGCATTCCAGTACGCAAAGGATATGAAATAAAGATAGTTCGATGAACAGGAACATCATATTCTTCCTACATGAGACTGAAAACCTGCTCTTCGACTTCGCCCCCAGTCAGCATATCCATCGCCTCTCCCTTCATCAACCCATGAACATAGCACTCACCAACCAGTAAATACCTCTCCCCGGCGCGACGCAGACAGAATGGAACCTTGCAGCCAAATAAAACACAAAACACATCACCGGCTTCCAATGCCGATGGCCCTAGTACATAATAGCCCTTCTTACTTCGTGCAAATACTCGTCCGTCTGACGCGGAAGTTGCCCACCGACTCCATTTATCATGTTCTTTCTCGTCCTGTATCTTTTCTGCTTGTTTCGTAATGTCATCTGATACTGCAAAACTACCAAACGTTTCCACTACGAACTTTGCTGCCATTTGTAACCATGTCTGTTCAGGAACGGAATCATATTGTTTGCATTCGTGGCCCGTTGCCTGAACACACGCGTTGCTGAGCGTCTGCATCAGCGCAAAGAAAGCAGAGTCTCCGTTCAAGTACTTATCCACACGATTGAACCTTGTCTTTCGGCAAATATCCTGCCAGAGGTGTTCTACCAGGTCGGCTTTTCCGTAAAAGTCGCTTGAGAGCATTGGCCTGGAATATTCTTCAATAGTATCAATACTGATACCGTGTATCTGTAGCACACTCTCATTCTCGATTATGTCCATCTTGACGGTAGAATTACGATGAGCTCGGTGAGGACATATTGGCTCAGCCAAAATGATCCCCTCAGACCATCTCCAGTCAGGTACCCATGAAGGCAACTTCATAATATTTCCAAGGTTGACATCATCGCATTTAGAAGGTAGACTGTTCTGAGGATGCTGCACTGCCGCAAGAGTAATGCACGCCGCTTCTGGGCGATCTCGCAATATCCTTGTGGCGATGTTGACGTAAGTCTGCTCAACAGAGAGCGTATAGTCTGCCACGATTGATATTGGTCCGCAGCCAAGAGGTAGAAGTGCCCGAGTCGAGAAGTGACTCAGAAAAGCAAATACTCGATCCCTCTGATCAGTGAACTGCAGATGGCGGGATCTCTGAAGCTCGTACACGAAGTTGTATCGGTTGGCATGGTGCGTTGTCTTGTCTGGTGGTATAAATCGTCGGTAAAGGAACGATATATCTGAAGTAGTGATTCCAAGAGTGCTACGAAGTTGATGGTATCCTTTTAACTTCTGGCACACCCTGGCCAGAGTATTCCAATCGATACTGTGATTTCCCCAGATCATCGTGGCAGGAGTTTCTGTTCCAATTTCTTGTACGACCCAACCTCTCTTGAACTATAGTAAACGTCAAAACTCATCCTCCCACGATTGTGATCTTATAGAACCTACCCATGGACGGCTTGTCAAAGCCTGGAGTACCTTGTCGTGCTGCCGTATTTGCCTCTCGAGATTTCTTGAGATTAAGACATGAGAATGCTGTGCATCAGTGCTGAGAGCTTCGTCAAGCTTATGGATCAGATTGAAAGCTGACTCTGCTTCCTTGTTGGTGTCTAAGCCAAGCCATACCAAGACCCTAGTCGCGTTTTCATAAATCTTGCCCATAGAATGGACTTGATTGCTTCTCTCATCAAGATCATCCTGATTGATACAGCACTGATCAGCCCAAACTCGCCTCTTCTGATCCGGATGTCGAATCTGAAGCAAAGCGGCAAAGATGGAACCTCCTCTAAGTGGCAGCAGAGCATCCTGATTGTTTTCACAAATGATGATCTCATGTGGTCTATCAGATGGACCTGGATCTGCCCAGACGTATGATAGTGCTTCGTAGTCTTTGAGAGAGTTGACGTGAGCTTCTTCCAGATTTCCCCGCAGTGGGCTTTCGGGTTGGCCAGGGTCTAATGAGAGGATCCGGACTGTACCAAGGCTGGTCAACGGGGGGTACTGGTAATGGGGCAATGCGGCTGAAGAGTACAGGGTTGGTTCGACGGTATGCTTGCCAGAGCAAGCGATTCCTCCTTGTTGGTCCATAGTGGAGTAAGATGCGATAAGACAAACCAACAGCCAAGCTGGTCCCACGGATTCGGGTCCAGAAGCGTATTTGAGCTTCCTAACCCAGGCATACCTAGGCCGACTCACTACATCATTACCCTTGTCAGTAGGACAATATTTCTGCCTGATATTTCAATGCAGAGACCTCTATTTAGAATATGCTATGAAGATTTCTTGGTTATGTATGAGGCATTTGCCGCTCGATGCCAAGCTTTGTGCTACCATCGTGTTTGACATAAGCGCTGGCTTCGTCACTTTCAGCCGCATTTCAACCTCAATAGGAACACACAAGATGACTGTAGCATCCAGCTATGTAACGTGCCAGCCAATCAGACATAGTTGAAGGATTCATCAAGATTTAGTGGTGTACTGTGATTTAACGCTGCGTTTGGAAAGTTGGGGGCCGTTGGGGTTCAAGCCCGAGAGCCGAGCCTCGTTTTACAATCCCGACCTCCAGGCTTTGCAAAAGTATAAAGAGCCTGGTTAAATTAGTATTGTCATATTCTTCATCTTATTTAACTCAAAAGTCTAATATTTCTGATCCCTCTGCCAAAAAAACAATATCTCCAAATTCCTATCACCTCGCTAGTCTTCTTCCATCATGAGTGGCCACCACGGCTATGGCTCATACGACCAGTACGACTCGGATGATCAGCAAGATGCTTATAGCCACACTGGTTCGGATGACCAGGGTGGCTTAGCAAACCCTCACGGCCAAGATGATCATGAAGACTCAAACACCCAGAACGCTGAATATCTTCAGAAAGTTGAAGAATGCCTTGCATATTACGGTGATCCCGACACTCAAGCCGCTTACCAGCACGTTGCGCACGCAGCTAGGGATACACTGCAGGATCTCCTCAAAGAGACTGGCACCAAAGGCGTGGTGACGTGCAGAATCAAAGCTTATGAATCGCTGGAGACTAAGCTCAGAGGCATGGAGAGTGAAGCCGAGTTTACTACCTTCGCGCTTAACGACGACATCTTTCAGCACCAGGATATGGGAGACCTTGCTGCTGTTAGGATCGGGCTATACTTGCCGCAGGATGTAATCAACATGGCAAAAGAGTGCCAGCAGCGGTTCAGCGTTGCCCATCTCTTTGGCACCGTTGGTAGCGGGAGAGATGCTCCACAATCAGATCGACAGAATCTCGAGGGCCATTCAAGAGGTCCTTGGCGGTCGCAGGATCAATATGGCTCTGACGAGTACTGGCAACATTCAGGTTACAAGTCTTGGCAGATGGTGGTCAATTGGGGGGGAGGGTATAGAGTCGAGATACAGATTGGAACAGTCGTTTCGCAGGCTTGGGCTGAAGTACAGCACAACATCATCTACAAGAGGCCAGACGACATCATGTCAACTCCAACCATGAAGCGTATGATCGACGCGATCAATGGTTTGGCTATCACAACAGAGATTATTCTCAGTGAACTCGAACGTAACGTCGAGACAGCAAAGCAAGAGGAAAAGCTGCGACGCGCGACAGAAAGTCAATACGACAACCAGCCCATCACAGAGATCGACGACTTTTTCGCATGGTTTGAAGTGGCCTATTGGTACAAAATGCCTCAAGCCTTGGCTCTGCGCTGGGAGCCTGATGCCATCTCTGTGCAGAAACTTGTTGAGTTTTGCTCAAATCCAGGACGACGATGGGGCCTTGCTCCTAACATGGGTTCTTACCGCGGAGTGGACTTCAAGAGACTGATCGAGGATAATAATTTGTTGCAGACTAATCCTTTGAGTAACGATAAGTGCGATATTGCTTATCTGCTCCTGTGCCAGATTGTGGACAATCTTGGGATTCGGGAAGAGTTTGATGCGAGAGAGGATGAGAGTCGGTACTGGGATTCTGTGCCACATCAGCCAGGCTGGAGTCGATAAAACATATGTGCTTCTGCTTTATAATGTTTTTTTCCTACTGTAACTGTCTACTCTGAAACTTTCGTTGAACCTTGACTTATCCTATCACTCAGCGCCCAGACAAAGTGATATCTAGACATCGCGCACGAGGGTAGAATAATGGAATTTAATCAAGGCATCTTGATGACCCGTATGCAAAGTGCCAAAAAGGCAGCTTGAGAATTACGTGGTCTTTACCTCGATGTACTTTGTCCATTGATGAGGCAGTGCTGATCTGAGATGGTCAGCGAACGCTCAGCCTACTTTAGCGTGACAAGTGACCTTAAGGTGAACTAACGAGTATGCATAAAGCCTCGTTCCTGACTAGCAGGCTCGTAGAGTAAATTGATCGCCCTATTTGCGCATAGCCTCAACGTCTTTCAGTGATAGTGAAATGACCGCTTTTCCAGCGATTCGTAAAAATGGATACGAGACACTGTACTCGATGACATGCCGCCAAGACACACTATCGACATATGGCGTTCGCAGTTTTGCATCAGAAGCCTCACAGCCTCAAATCGGTAGTAGTTGTATCTCAGCTGACACTCCTGTACCAACCATACACATATAGTTAAGTATGTGCCAATCTCCAAGTAGGGACATGGCCCCCAAATGTCTCCCGCAATTTAGATAACGGCCCCCAAGAGGCTTTCCCACCGATGTCATACTTACTGGCTAAAGAGGCAGAAGTGCAATTCAACTATCTTGGTGTATTGCTCAAAAGGCCTTCGGGCTTAAGTTTGGGGAGAGGGAGCCCGTTGTGCCTTGCACCGCCTTCGAAATTGTAGGATATCCTCAAAGAGTGGCGAAAAGGGAGAATTCTTCCACAGCCTGATTTGTTTTCGGTTTATTTAAACCGGACTTAACCTGCTTGGGGTCGTTTTCTATTGTAATCAGTACGCCAACTCAACTATCATTCTGCTAGCCGTTCGCTTAAGATACTTCATTCGTTTCATAATAGCAACTGTCAAACTCTCGTTCATATCACACTCTATCTGTTCGCTTATAATGGCTATTCGCTCCCATCTTCCTGAGCAACCAAAACAAAAACTTCTGTTCGTTGCGTTTGATGGTATGAAGATCCTCTCAACTAAAACTGCCAAAATCATATCAATGACTAAATCGAACAGGAACATGGCATGGCAGTGTCAAAAACTCGAAGGAGACCGTAGTATCTAGCCTGCCCGATCTCATCTCCAAGAGCGAGCACATTCGAAAGATTCGCGTCAACGGAGTCGGGACTGATGGCTTAACAGACAAGATTCTTGGAGGTTCGTTTCATCATTTACCCCCTGTCTTATCCAAGCCCGAACTCATTTGTCGCAGGTCTTGGTGGTTGGGGCACGCGAAGGAATGTCATAACTGCTTATCGTAAGAGGTCTCGCCATTTGCATGTGAGAAAGACTGACAGTAGAGAGGCAATATCGCCGACGACTATAACGAGGGCGATAGGATTGTCTTTTGTGGCTATTCACGAGGTAAGTCGGGAATTTTCTGTTTGATCTGCATCAATGGATTACTTACAATGATGCATAGGCGCATGGGCGGCTCGATATCTAGCAATGATGATTGAATGCCTCGGCCTAGTTCGAGACGGGGACACGGAATTCTTCAAGCGTTTGTATGACGCTTGCAAAAAAGACCCGTATCTTACCAAGGCCAACAAGGAGGAGCTACGACGCAATTACGACTGTAAGTATTAGCTTCTTTCCTTTGACAATGGCTGTTAACGAGTTGAAGTCTGGGATGACATTCAAATCGATGCACTCTGCTGTTTCGATACAGTTGGTTCGCTTGGTATCCCACTGTTTGGTATTGCAAAGCCACTGTCCTATCTCCACCGAAGCAAGTATAAGGCCAAGGTCATAGACCATGTTCCAAACAGTAAGTTCTAGGATAATCTGACTCAATACCGAATAGTACTGATGCTTTATGCAGACGTGAAATATTCCTTCCATGCTCTGGCCCTACACGAAACCAGAAGTCCTTATAGTCCAACTTACATGTGTGGACACAGCGTCCACCAGGTTTTCTTTCTAGGCGATCATGGTAACATGGGCAAGCTTGGGCAGCAGGAAGGCCTTGTTCATGCCCCTCTCGCTTGGATGGTCCAACAACTATCTTCCCACTTGGGTGTTTCTTTTGACGAGGACAAACTCAAAAGACGCTTCCCAAGCTACACGTCTGAAGGGCAACCTGGAAGAATGTCCCGACAGGGTACACACGACACCGCGCACGAGGCCATGATGAAACATGCCTGGTGCTGCCCGAGCGGATCTATCCCAGGAGCTGGCGTCGGCAGGCTAGTCATCATGGGTAGAAAGGATCGCAACCCAGGAATGGTTCTCAACTACTGTGATGCTGATTGCACCGATTCCAGTACTGACGAATCAGCTCGTCATGAAACTGCTTCTACTCATGCCCAAATACATATTGGCGCTCGTGGAAGACAAGAATGTGGCTTTGGCGATGCAGTGCCAGGGTATCTTGGTGTTCAACCAATGGATCCGAACCAAGTGTTTTTCTGGAAGAGAAGAGCGACGGGTGAGCAGGAATTTGTTGCTTCGGATGTTATTCAGGAGGCAAAGGTTGGGTTTCTGGAGGCGAGGCTCTTGGGACTTCCTGCGGCGGCGGCTAGTCACCCAGATTGCTGTGGCCTGAACCGTATACGACAAGAGGGGGTTGATGCTGAAGTCTCAGCAGAGAATGAAGAGACATGGGACTCAAAATTGAACCAAGGTACACGAGTGAGGGTCAAGAACTGGGTTCAAAGACGTTTGGGTGGTGGCTTGATACGTCTCGCCGTGATGTTGTAACCTTCTGTTATTATCGAGTCCAGTTGGTTTGGTTAGTGGTTCTGCTATATACCGTAGTATCCTTCAAGATCTACATATGCTCGACCAGTTGTCGCGTTGCCATATAAGTTCTGGGAAGCTCTAAGTCAACAGAGACCATATCGAGTATTCAACGACATGAAATTTGCCAAAAACTATCAGTTATTTGCCTGTAGTCGGCGGTCATAACGCACCGGACCACCTACCCTGAAGTTGACCCGCCACCATTGACGGGTTATGATCTCAATGTAAGCCGCAAAAGTAATGCTAAACTCATACGTACAGTTGTGACTGACAGAGATCTTGGACCTGTCAGTGGATATAATTGTGACTTGTACATTTATGCCGATGGCTTCCACTATGATTCGTGAAGCTTCCGTATTTATTATTGAGACGGATTAGAGTTTGTGTCTGTATCGATTGACCAATCACATGTTACGCTTTTAACTTCATCCGACTCCATTAATTGCTTTTGACACCAAGCCCTTAAAAGCGCATCGTTATCTCATTTCTTGATTTTCTAAACACCAAACAGACCGAGTATTTCAGAGCCTCAAGCAATGTCCGACGATAATGCTGAACAGCCTGAAGCGAAATTACCTACTTGCAGTACCTGTGGAAAGTCCTTTGACCACATGAATTCGGTCAGACAACATCGTGAACAAACCAAACATGCCTCGACAGATACAGACGGCACCGAACCAGAGCCTGGCGAAGAAGTGCCAAAGCGATTCGGATGCACAATGTGTAATCGGTCTTTCAAAAGAAAGTATTGGCTGCAGAAGCATTAGAGCAGCAAGCATGCCTCCAAGGTTCCGGATGCTTCTGATGAACCCGCTGAAGACGTAAAGCCAAGCCCCAAGGCGCAGAATCCAGCTGTGGACAGCGATGCCCCCATCAAGCAAGAAGATCTGAAGCAGGACGATCAAGATCAAGATTCTGCGCCGACTGTTTTCAGCTGTCCTGTTTGCGACAAGACCTTCAACGGACAATCTGGGCTTAATCGACATAAGGAAGCAAAGCATGATCCGAAGCGAGAAGAGGGAAGGATTCCTTGCAAATGGTGCAGAAAATCTTTCGTCGATGACCGTGCACTTCAAAATCACCACAAAGACACATATTCACGCATGCACTTATTGCATCAAGGTTTTCCACACCAAAGATGCACTTAAGGTCCACAAGCGCCGCAGCGGGCATACAGAGAGAACGAAAGAGCCTGCAGGGATACAAAACATGAGACCGAAAGAAAAGGCCTCTGAACCTTCTCCACAACGATAGAAGTGCGACTTCTGCAATTCGAGCTTTCACCATTTCGATCTGCTTGAACAGCATATAATACGCCATAACCTTTGGTCGGACGATGGGCCTGTTACTATATACAAGTGCGACTTTTGCCCCAAGACGTTTTACTCCTATGATGCGCTTGAAGGGCATGTGAGAACCAACTATCGTTTTTCTTCACCTAATTCATGGGATACAGATGGGCAGACTGATGAGGAGGCCTACGAGGAAGACTATGAGGATAGCGATTAGCAAAGCGATGGAGAGGACTATGGTGAGAGCAATAAGGAGGAAGCTGAAGGGTAGCGACGAGGAGAGTAATGAGGAGAGTGACGAAGAGAACGACCAGGAGAACGATGAAGAGAGCTGTGAGGAGGGCAATGAAGAGAACGACGAGGAGAGCGACAAAGAATCTGTCCCGGATCTTGTTGAAAATACAGGCGAGAACTCCTGGTGGGCATTGTTCAACCAGGACAACATCTCGGATGAATCGCTCTCGTACTCGGATTTCCAGAACTTTGATAGTTATGACGAAGACGACATGTTAGATGACCTTAGGGAGATAAACTCGTGGTCCTCCCAAAAAAAAAAAAAAACCCCCCCCCCAAAAAAAAACCACAATCCCCTTCATAACCTGTTGGAAGAAGTTTAGAATCTCTTCTCAGATGTTGAAGCACGTGGAGATGCGCGAATGTCACTCTTACATTGACACTCCCTCTATCAAATGGGCTATTGACAGGAGTGATCAGAGCGTGGTATCAAGATGCTACTCTGATGACAAGTTCCAGTGCCCCGGCTGTGAAACCCGTTTCGACTCTTTGAGTAGCATGATTCGCCATGCCGAGGGGAACAAGTGCAGTGCTAATATTACCCAGGACCCGATCAAGGCCTTTATGTCTGAGGTGAGGCGGCGTATGATAGAGGGTGAACTCTTTTAAGCTGGTAGAATCTTTTGAATTCGAACCGTTAAGGATACTGCGATGGTTGTGAGACGCAATAACTTCTATTTTCTTCTGTTTTATTTTCAATCTAATAGGTATTGTATCTAGCCAAACCATTATCGTCAGCTTCAGAGCAAATCTTGGATCTCTATGTATTGTATAGCCCCAGGCCAGGCCAGAGAGCGATGTCATCAGGGATCTCACTTGAGTATAAACCAGGGGTGAAAGAGGGAAGAGGGTAGGTGCTTTAGTTTCTTGTCGTCAGTTTCAGATTAATTCTTAATGCTTCACTTTGGTTCCATTTGACGTTCTTTATAGCGGTTGCTCTGTTGAAACGGTAGACGTTAAATGGTGGCGCCTGTTGACCAATCAACTTGGACGCTTTATTCTTGATCCGCTTCCATTTATTTGCTTCTGCAACCCCATTTCAGGATGTCGTCCACCGTATCTTTCTCCAAATTCTGGAAAACACGACGTACGCGTCTCCTCTTCAATTATTCTTTCCAAAATGGCGGACGATAATCCTGCAGAGGCTTCAGCTGCAAAGCCTGAAGCCAAGCCCGTCAATTGCCATATCTGCAACAAATCGTTTCCCCACAAAGGCTCACCCAGGCGACATCGGCAGAGCAAACATCCTGTCCAAAAAGTAGAAGCAGACGCGTCTGAGACAGGACAAGATGGCGAAGCAGCCAGTACTTTTGATTGCGCGATTTGCAAGCAGTCATTTACGCGTCAATCTTCGTTGACACAGCATCAACGGAGCAAGCATGGCCCTCCGAAGCCTGAAGCCCCAGCTACTTCTGTCACACAAGCTCAAGCTGCGGAGCCTAGGGCAGAAGGCTCTGCTGCGAATGAAGCATCTACTTCTGCCAAACAAGAAGATGCGAACCAAGGTGATAAAGGCCAGGAAAGTAAGACGACTTGTTCAATTTGCAACAGGTCTTTCAGCCATCGAGGTGCGCTGTACCAGCACAAGAGAACCAAGCATCGCACTATCAAAACGGATGTCGAGACTCCTGCCAAGGAAGAGGATAAGGCTCCAGATGATGAAGAAAAGACAATCAAGTGCGATGTTTGCGACAAGTTGTTCACCAGCCGAAATTCACTCCGAAGGCATCTAAAGAGCAAACATGCTTCAGATAAGAAAGGCAAGGGCCCAGCAAAGAGTTCAGAACAAGGTGGCAAGGCAGCTGGCTCCTCAAAACCAGTGCATAAGACACTGAAGGAGCGACATATTGCTGGTTCTCAGAGGTTCAAGTGCCCATGTTGCAATGAGAACTTTTCTTCTGAGGATACGCTTATGAAGCATCAAGCAGAACAGCGTCTCGAAGCGATGAGAAAGTTTATGGAGAACATGGCGATGGCTGCTTCTGGCATGAGAGTGTCAGATGGCCAAGATGGCTCGGATGAGGAGAGTGAGGAGCAGGAGCCTGCCGAAGAGACCGCGACGGAAGAGAAGAAAGCCCCAAACATGCATCAATGCACGCTTTGCGACAAGAACTTTCGTTTCAAATCAGCCCTAGTGCAGCATGGACTCATCAAGCATGCAGTGGCAGACGACACTGTTGCAGAGAGTTCGGGCCAAGGAGCAAACGCGACTGCTGGAGGCAAGAAGGCAGAAGATGTTGACAGGGATGAAGATGAGGATAAGCCCTATTGCCAGACCTGCCAAAAGACATTCCGCCACGCGAAGGGACTTGCGGATCACAAACTCAACAAGCATGGCATCGTCGAAACCGAACCCACAAACTCAAAGCAAGGTGTGCCTGAAAACCCAACTTTTAGATTCAGACCTTGCAACAAGACCTTCCGTCTTGCGTCTGCACTTCGTCAGCATCAGCGAGATAGTCATCCCGAGATGCACAGGCCGAGATACTCAGAGGACGATATAATGAGACAAATACTGCGAATGGCAGTCCCGCCGTTTGGTGACGATGGCGGTGATGGTGATGATTATGAGGACGAGGATTATGAAGACTATGATGATGATGATTCTTTCTCATACCTAGGCTACAGGGGATTTAGACGACGCTAGTTCGACTTCCTGGCTGGTATTCGACCTGGCGATATATACGACTCGGATGACCCGGACTTTGACTATCCTGGTTTTTCAGATGACGATGACGAAGATGATTCCGATATTGATATGGATGATGATAGAGGCCCCCCAACCCTCTGCACGCACTGAAACGAGTATTTCCCGCAGATGCCATTAGTTGCACATCAATGGCATGTCCACAGTATCAGCCACCCAGCTGTTGTTGATGTCCAAGCCAAGATCGCAAAGGATGAATCCTATGGCCCCAAGCGCACCGTCTGCAAGGATTATCCTGATGCAAATGCATTCCCCTTCTTCTTCGAGGCGAAGTATTTCTTAAGAGAGTGCCTTTTCAGCTGTGGACAGTCTTTCGAAACTGGCACGGAACGCATGAATCATGAGGTGGAGGCTCATAATCGTTGCATAACATGTCATGCGTACTTCACGACCCGATCCACTCTCGAGGTAAGCCGCCCTTTTATCCATAGCTATCACTGTTGACTCAGCCCCCTTAGAATCACCAGTCCAAATCCAAAGTCGTCGATACCGTCTTCAGAGATTTCGACCACTGGCTTGAGTTCGCCGTCCCCGCACAAGTACACCACGAGAAGCAGAAAGAAAAAGCAGCTCGTAATTCCAACCCCAACAAGAATATCGACTGCATCACTTGCGATCGCAAGTTTGAAAAAGCATCCACAATGATGAAGCACGTCGAAAGAGGCCGATGTATCCCTGATGTGAATGAGATAGATATCTTTGCCGTCGGACAGACTTTGGCTGACCGGGGAGCTCCCTGTGTTAGACCGGGAGGATTCTTTTGCCCGATTTGTGACAAATCGTATATGGTGCTGAGTGAGCTTATTCAATATGCGGAGGGGGATGAGTGTAATTTGAATGTTCTGAGGGGGCCATTGCGGAAGTTGATCTCGTTGGTGATGATGGATTTTATGAGTATGATGATGGGTCATGCTTTCTGAGCTGGGGAGTTGATCTGGGGGTATGGGATGGATACTGGAGCTGGGATACTAGACTAGAAGTACAAGATTATCTTGTGATATTTGCTGTTTCGTCGATTTCTCTTGGGTAGCGCATGTCCAAGCGTGCAGCTGTGATCATGCATATGCTTTAATGCCGAGTCTTAAGAAGTGACAGGCCGTTCAACTTCAAACCTCGCTGTGAATTTGACTATGCCCGGGACAGAAATAAGCTTGTTTTATGCATACGAAATTTCTTTAGGCTTTCCTACTAAGAAGGCAATTTCAATATTCCGTCCCGTCAGAGGAATTGCTTCCATGACATGTAGCTTTCGAAACACTCAATTATAGCTCAATAATCTTACGAAATGTACTGAAGAGCATTTGAGGAAGAAGATACGACATGAGAAGACCACGAAATCGTATGAAGGGGGAGAATAGGCCATGGTAGAAAGGTAGTTTCATGCTACGTTGTCCAGCACGTCTCCTGGCAAGGGATTCTGAATCTTCTGTCTGGCGTTGACCAGGACATTTCATACCTGCAAGGTGTGTGATATACAATGTTTTCACCAAGGGGACTTTGGCCATTACAACTACTTTTGAGCCATCAGGTCTCACGGAGTATTGTGCTGAGGACCACGAAGAGATAGGAGCCTTCAGATTCTTGGAGTAAATTTTGCACAGAAGACTAGAAGCCCTTTGCCAGTAGCTACGTCTTCTTCATAGCATATGCCAACAGAGTGATGGAAGACTAGATCATAGGACAGCTTGTTAAACCAGTTGGCATGTGTGAATATCTGACTTCGGCTTTGGCATCTCTCGAACAGCAGTCCTATAGATGAGCTGGTCTAACTGAATACTGATGGGCCTTACCAGACGCAGAAAAACGCGCGACTTATAGCTTTGTTGGGTGATTAAAGATTGGGGGCTCCTGAAACGCATGGGCGACTAATCAGTGACAACGTCCACGATGCATGCATACTTGCGGCACGGTAACTCATGAAGAACAAGGTATTTTCTCCGGGAAATGACATTTGCTGATGAATGAACCAACATTGACTGGCGATGTTTGTGAACATTGGGAATGAGTCTTGAAAGATTACTCATGACATTGAAACGTGAATGGTAAGTACAGTTGCAATTCGCAGAAACGTCGGGTGACGAGAATGCATGATGGGTGCTGACGAGTCCAACATGCGGTCAAATCAACCAATAACCGCGGGGCTGCAATCTGGGGAAGCTCACCTTTTGGGACGCTTACCCGAAGATGACAAAGGTTCGATAGTCAGTTGCCAAAGTCGAGCAGGCAGACCCATATAGTTCTCGCATATTGGCTGGCTAAAAGCGACTCGTGTGGCGTAGAGATGGAAATGGAATTGGTGTCGCCGAATAGAGCGACCTCCGTGGGTTACATAACGACGCCTGGTGTCGTCATAAGGCAGACTTTCGCGTTGGACTGACCTTACATGCGTTGTGCGTCACTATGTAACAGCCGTTGCCTGCTGCTGCATAACCGGAAGGCTTATTAAGTGACAGACCAGTCAATCTGAAGCATGTTTTGGAAGACTGTGACGACCTGCTCGTGATGACAGGTGGACTTCCCTTGATGGTGGACCCTTTTGGCCAAGTCTGTCCACCCATCTGGGGCTGTCCATTTAGATCCCTGTCGCCCAGAATGCTAACTGGAATATCGTCAGCAGCTGAACGAAGAACAGACGTATCGTAAAGCTGACATGCCTAACGAAGTATCTTCTGGTCATCTTCGCTAAAGCACGGGCGTCAGAGCCGACAGCAGGGAGAAGGAACACAAACCAGAATTAAGATAGCCGGCTCGAGATCTCATCTCAGGGGATGTCTCACTCCAGGTCTCAGATAACAGAGCCTAAACATCGTCAATGGAATCTTGGGGACCACCCCGAACATTTCGGGCCCATTACCGGGACCCAAGTGCCGCCTGGTGTGCCGGATGTCTACGGGCGCCGATCTCGTGGTATCACGATGATAATGGCACACGAAAGAAAACAGAGGGACAATTCCATGGTCCATTTTCCAGGCGGAATAAGAGCGTCAGAGGTTCAACGCCCAACGACCGGCAAGGGTATCATCAGAATCGAACCATGTTGACATGCGCCGTGACCGGGTGGTGGAGGGCATTCTGAGTGGAGGTCCGTCTTTGGCTGACAGCTTTCCAATCGCGAGAATCGACAACGGCCCGAACGCCGCAATTAATTTGCAAAGCAATCCTCCATTCCAACTTGCGACACAGTGCTCACTTTTTCAGACTTTCCGAATGTTCTGGCCAGTCTCGTTTATGTTTCGGGTGCAAGCTGAAGCTACAGCAAGATATCCATACGCAATTGAAACATGCTGCAGCGCCATGTTTCTTGTCACAGGTATTGCGGTCCATCCCAAAGATATGCGTGATATCTTTCTGCAACTGTCCGCGTCCGTTGGTTACTCAAGCTCCATGCATGCTATTTAATGTTCAGCCGACGTCAAGTTGCCGACAACCATGTCATATCGGGCATCCTCGCAGGTACGACTGCAACCCATAAACCGTAAGTTTGCAACCCAAACAATCTGTTCTTCAAACACTGCTGCTACGAATTGCAGATGTCAAGTCTCAAGAGTTGGAGGCGTGATTCAGGTGACTTTGGCTGGCGGTAATCCACAGCTCGAACCCATGAAATGAATCGGCGTCTAAGAGCACCCCGCTAAAAACCCCCAACACTGGTCAAGTCAAGACCGCAATCCCGGGAAAAGGGGCACGCTCAAATAAAGGCAATTTGCGTATCCACAATATCAAGATGATGGCTTGCTCGTTTGTAGATGTAAAAGACAATACCTCCGATTGATGTTAACTTTGAAGAAAGGGGAAGGAGAACGTGCCAAGATGTGGAAACACGCGCTTTGATTGCAGAGGATACTGTAAGTGGGCTTTGGCAAGCTGTTGCGGTGCAACATCCATTGTTGATATTGCGTTAATGCGATTCATGTTTGGATATATCTGTACTGGTTATTGCCGATCCGAAACTTATCTGCGTCCTTTGCCAGTGTTAACCCACTGTTATACCTGGAGCGCCAAGTTAACAGGATGAGGTGCATCCCTAAGCGACCCGTCTTGGTTCATCTCCCATGCAAGTTTGTGCTGTTGTACCTGAACCGTGCTTCACGAGAGAGTTTTGTCATGTCTGTGTGCTTTTGATACACGCATGGAGTAGGCAAAGACCCTGTGCATCCCAGAAGATCGCGAAGCACTGGAGCGCTGGAAGCCCGCGGATGGCGCGATGAGCTTCGGCCGAGGTTTAGTGAGAGGCCGGGATAAACCTGCCTGGGGAAGGGTGCTGGATCAGTCTCGTTATCTCGGGGTCCAGTGATTTCCCGCTAGGGCCATAGTGCAATTGGATTGAGTTGTTGCAGATTCCGGTAGAAGCCCATCAATGAGGGAGGGAGACGTTGAATGAGGTGTACTCTGTTTGAAGTTGATGATAACCTCATGTTTCGGGATCAGTGAATTAGCACAGTGCTTCTCTGTCTTCAGCTGCACTGGCAACCCACCCGTCGTGGACATCATCTGCTGGCATCGTGGAGCGTGGAGTTGCGTTGCTGGCAAAAGGGCCAAGAAACGAGAAATGGCACCCCCCACACGTCGTCATTTCACACTCCGTTATTAGCCCCGTTATCGAATCAAAAGAGGATTGGGCCCGGCGCCTGGGCGTTCAACCGACAACGGGCGACAAGCTCTAGCCTCTATGCCAGGGGATGTTGAAGACCAGTACTGCTACTGTTGTTTCTTTGTTAGCAGGCAAAGAAGTGCAATGGTAGTGGAAACACCAGAATAAAAGTGAGAGAAGAGATGTCAGCTTTGCTTTTGATCGGAATAACAGATCCGGTCACAGAATGCATGTCTCGTTTATACCCCGACATCGCAAAAAATCTCATGGATCGAGTATTCTTAGGTAGGTAGGTACTGGCAAGTAAGGTACTGCACTGTGATTGCCTGTACCTTTGGTTCTGCCAAACGAGGTACAAGCAGTTCATGTACTCCGCCTTTAGCCTGGCCCAGGCTGTCATACAATGAACCGTCATGATTTGCATGCCGTAAAACAGCCGATACTTTGCTTCATGTACTCAATTTACCCGCACCTCAGGCCTCAACTGCACTGGGACCTGCCAACTACGAGCCCCCAAAAGTCACCCTCCGGCATGTGCCCACTAAGAAATGCCCTGTTCCTTCCTGTCCAGTGAGTTTCCACTGTCCACTCCCCACGGCACGACGCTACTTCCTGATTTGATTGATTGATGGGTGAGAGAAGCCAGGCTAGGCTTGCTCCTTCTCCTTTCCCGCTCGCTCGGCCCTGGTTTTTTTCTCCCCCCATTCAATTCGAACCCAACCTATCCCGTCACGCCCTGTCCAAATCGACGAGTCGTTCATCATCTTAAACCACCACCACCTTTTCCCTTTCCTTTCTCCCTCTTACCTTTACGGTACCTCTTCCTATTTCTTCCTCCGCCTCGATTTTTTCCGTTTGCCTTGCAGCGGCTTTGGTCTCGACAAGCGTTCTTCCGGTCCGTCGTGTTAAACTCGTCCCCCGTCTCGTCACCGACTTCTTGCGATTTTTTTAATCCTTCGCACTTTTTCTCCGTCCCTCCGAGACCCTCGCGTGGTTTATTCCCGAGAATACGGCCCGTGGCGAGTAAACGTAAACCTTGCCTTGCGCTCACTTTCCCAACGAAGCGGCAAAAGGTCACCGACGAAGCTTAATCATATTCTTATCTCTCTTGGGTGAGTCGAGACCTCGACGCACAGGATTACGGTCGATTTGTCAACGTGTTGCGACGAGGGGCCCTGGAGCGTTAGGTGGTGCTTTTTGATGGATCCATGTCTTAGCTGGCCGATGGTGCGCATCTTGACGTCGGCCACAGCGGCAAATTTCCTCATCACCTTTCGTATTGCCCTTGTTTCTGGCACCGCTCTCGCATTGCGCTGCACATCGCCGTCG